AGGCAGCATCCTCCACAGAGTACAGAAGTGACACTGTGTCCTCCCGGCGCCCCTCCCCACCCTAAGTTATTGCTGTTCTCCCACTGTGTGTGTGCTCATCCTCACCCTCATCGACTCAGGCCTGGGGCCAGGGGGAGGAGGGTGGTATGCGTCATGTTTTTTTTTTTCTCCTCTTTGATTTTGTTTTTCTGTCTCTCTTCCAACCTGTCCCCTTCCCCCCACCAAAAAAAAAAAAAAAAAGACACAAATAAAACATCTGAGCTGAACTGTACCTTTGGCCCAGGCTGCCTCTGTCTGCTTTGTCCTGCCGCCTAGCCTCCCCAGTATGCCCCAGTCTGGATCCTTGGCCCTCAGCTCCATGACCTCTTCACTCCCATCTACGTTATCTCAACCCCTCTCACTCCTCAGCCTCATCTTTCTGCCTTCATAGCTTCATTGTACCACGACCACCACCAGCTCTGGGGTCTGGGCCCCTACCAAGTTTCTACAGAGTGTTTTGGCCCCACAGTCCCCGTTTGTGGGTCCTACCCCAGAGCCCTTAGGTTCCAGTTCCTTTAGTCTCTTCACTCCTGCCTTTTCTCCCAACCCATTCCCTACGTGGTGCCCTTGTGTTTGGGAGCTGAATTTCTCCTGCAATAGGCATTACCCTAAAGGATTGAAGGATGGGACTGCAAACCTTTATAGTAGGGGGTGGTGGGCTGGGAAAGGGGCAGGCAGAGTGTGGCGGCTATGGAAATGGAAGTGGTTGTGGGCTTGGAGTGGGAGCTGAGTGTGTAAGGGGCTGGGCTGGAATATGGATCTGGTCAGGGTGGCAGCTGCTGGCCCATCGGACATGTCAGGCCTTCTGGCCACTCCCTTTTGCCCCCTTTCCTTCTGTGGCTCGGAACAGGGCAGCCCCTTATCCATTTCTCAGCTCGGTGCTTATCCTTCTTCCCTGCCTTCCTCCCTGAGGTGCTGGACCTGGGACTTCCTCTGTGTGTTCTTGGTTGTGTGGCTTTCTCCCGTGGGTGTTCGTGTGACTTGATCTTCTGTCTCATTCTTAATATTTGCTCACATGCTTCTCTATCTCTAGGTCACATTTTCTCCCTTTTTGCATGGTCAAAGCTTCTTTTGTATACTCAGTGTTCTAAAGATTCTCAATTCCCTATCCATGAACTCTGATGTTCTTTCTCGTGGGTATTGTACCCACCTCTGTAGACCTGCTCTCAGAATCTGCCTTATTGTCTCTGCTTCTTGCCCATTGAGACCTTCCTGATCTCTCAACACAATCCCATCTCTCCATGTCTGTCTGTATACAGCTCCCCCCGCCCCCTCTGTCTAACATGTTTTCTGTTTCTCTCCCTCTCCCTGTCTCTGCTTCTGTCTCCTCTCCTCTTCTCTCTTTTCTCCCCCTTTACCCTGGTTGTTCCTTTTCCTCCTCCTCCTGTCCCCTGCCCACATCTCCCCTTGATCCGTCCACTGCATAGTCTAAGGAGCTGCAGATCAAGAAGCAGTTCCAGGAGACGTGTAAGATCCAGACTCGGCAGTACAAGGCTCTGCGGGCACATTTGCTGGAGACTACGCCCAAAGCTCAGCACAAGAGCCTCCTTAAGCGGCTCAAAGAAGAACAGACCCGCAAGCTGGCGATCTTGGCCGAGCAGTATGACCAGTCCATCTCAGAGATGCTCAGCTCACAGGCGGTGAGGCCTGGGGTCCAGGGAGGGAGCAAGGTGGAAGCTGGCCTCGGTTTCCAGCTTAGTCATGGGCAGTGGAAGGTGTGGACCAAGCTGGGGCTTTTTGCATTCACTATTCATATTCTCCACAGTGGTTTTATTATTTTTGTATTCTTCACAATGCTTTTATTATTTTATATTTTCTGCAATTTCTCTAGTATTTTCTTAAGGTCTTGACAAAGCCATCCTGCATACTCTACCAAGGACCACCAAGGAAAAGAGTGGCTATAATTTTTTCCTGAGCCTGAGTCAGTTTTATATGTGAACAGTGAGCAGATTAAAATAAGTGTGGCCCTCAAGCCAATTTCCTCAGGCTTCTAGAGGATTTTGAAGGTTGCTGTTCTAAAAAGCGATCACATATAAACACTGCAAGTGTACATATAGTGTAAAGAATAAAAGTGCCCCACTCATTCCATTCTTTCACCTAATCCCGCCTCTCAGAGGTCACTTGTTAATAACTGTATTTTAGATTTTTTCCCAGTGCATATTTGGAAAATTATTTTAAAATGTTAAACACAAACAGAATCATACTTTACATACTGTTTTTTAACTTCCTTTTCCACTTAATAATCCTTGGACTTCTTTTCCATGTCAGTACACATAGCTCATTATTTTTTTACAGCGTAGGATTTTTCTATGGTATGGCTGTACCATAATTTATTTAACCCATCCCTTATTGGTGGATATTTAGGTTGTTTCCAGTATTTTGCTATCACAACGCTTCCGTGAACACCTCGAGCACATGTGCAAGTATACCTGGGGGATAGATTCCTGCAAGTGTAATTGCTGTGCCACAGGGTATGACCATCTTCCATTCTGATAGATGTTGAGACCGCTGCTTCTTGAAACCTTAGGGCCCAGGCCTACCTGGGGCAGGGGAGGATTGTGGGGGTGAGGGAGGAGTTCCCTAAAACCTTTTCTTCCTATTCTTCAGCTACGGCTTGATGAGACCCAGGAGGCAGAGTTCCAGGCCCTTCGGCAGCAGCTTCAACAGGAGCTAGAGCTGCTTAATGCCTACCAGAGCAAGATCAAAATCCGCACAGAGAGCCAGCATGAGAGGGAGCTGCGGGAGCTAGAGCAGAGGGTAGCTCTGAGGCGGGCACTGCTGGAGCAGCGGGTAAGGACTCAGCCTCCAGGATGGGCTAGGGAGGGCAGGTGCCCTGCCCCTGGCCTCTAACTTCTCTTCTGGGTGCCCCAGGTGGAAGAAGAGCTGCTGGCCCTGCAGACCGGGCGCTCCGAGCGAATCCGGAGTTTGCTCGAGCGGCAGGCCCGTGAGATCGAGGCCTTCGATGCAGAGAGCATGAGGCTAGGCTTCTCCAGTATGGCTCTGGGGGGCATCCCAGCTGAGGCTGCTGCCCAGGGCTATCCAGCTCCTCCCCCTGCTCCTGCCTGGCCCTCTCGTCCTGTTCCCCGTTCGGGTGCACACTGGAGCCATGGCCCTCCTCCACCAGGCATGCCTCCACCAGCCTGGCGGCAGCCATCTCTACTAGCTCCTCCAGGTCCCCCAAACTGGCTGGGACCCCAAACACAGAGTGGAACACCCCGTGGTGGAGCCTTGCTGCTGCTCAGAAACAGCCCCCAGCCCCTGCGACGGGCAGCCTCAGGGGGTAGTGGCAGTGAGAACGTGGGCCCACCTGCTGCCGCAGTGCCTGGGCCTCTGAGCCGCAGCACCAGTGTTGCTTCCCACATCCTAAATGGTTCCTCCCACTTCTATTCCTGAAGTGGAGGGTGGAGGAGCAGATAAGAGGGGCAGGGGCAGGGGTGGGTTGGAGCTTGAACCTAGAGGGCAGTAAGCTTGAGGCCCACCCAAGGGTGGGGGACATATTATGGGCTCCAGCTCCCCTCAGACCTCCTCATCTCATGAGCTTCTTGGGGCTGGCCAGTGGCCCAGGGCCAGCTAGGGCTAAGATGCCTCAAGGCTGACCAGGAGCCCCTGCCTCCCCACCATGGTGCCAGGGTCTCCCTCCATCACCGCCTGGGGAGAGGGAGATGTGCGTGTCAAATATTCATCTAGTCCCCTGGGGGAGGGGAAGGGTGGGTCTAGATATATTATATTCAGAGAACTATACTACCCTTGCAATGGGGCTGTGGACTGGAGATGACAGGGCCCCCAGACTTGGGACGTGGTAGAGAAGGTCCGGGGTCCAAGGCAGGGAGAATGGGAGAAGGCTTTCCTTGGAAAGATGGGTCAGGATTGGGTCTTGGGGTCAGGATGCCTGGGTCTCTCCATTCCCCTGTTGCTGTCTGACGTCCTGTGCCGTCTTGTCCTTTATCTTTTTTTTTTTTTTTTTTAACTGGGATCAGGGCGGGGGCGGGGGAAAAAGCAGTTGGCCATGTGGGAGTACAACATCTTAACCCCTATGCCAACTGCTGGCTCCTACACAAAAGTTTCTAGCATATTCCCATTCAAATTTAGAGATTTTTTTTTCCCTTTTTTTTTTTTTTTTTTTTTTTCTCACTGGGATCAGGGCTGGGGCGGGGGAACAAGGGAAGGACCTTGGAAGGGGCTGCTCCTGGGCCTGGGGGCAGTCTTGGGAGCACCCCTCTCAGCAGTGGGGCTGGCGTAGAGCCCCAGGGCAAGCTTTTAATAAACTGTTGGTTATTCTAACAGACCCCAGGACTCACCCTTTCTGTCTCAGGTATGCATGAAGGATTGTTCACTAGCAAATGATAGTTTTACTCACATCTAAAAAGAGAATATATAGAGCCATGTAACTAAAAATGTCAGTGATTTTAATGACAAGTGTGACTGGATCCAGGGCCTCAAAGAAGGTCATCAACCAATTCCTACACTTTGCTTTGACTTCAAAGATTCTCAGAAGGTTCACACACAAACTACTGGCAGTTCTGAGCTTCCATCTTACTAGCACCCCCAAGGGCAAGCGTTCCAGTGGTCCTGAAGAGACTACCATGAGCTCCATGTGTAGCCAGAGGCCTGCAGTGTTCTGGTTGGTTAGGTCTAGGTCCTTACCTGTCCCTTTTAAAGCTAAGTCAACCTCTGTGCTGAGTGGCTGTTTCTAGGAGGCAGGAAGGCATAAACGTCAACTGTCCCCAGGCAATTTTGTGCTTCACATTTTTAAGGACAGATACTCTGATCTCCTCCCAACTGGACACATGGCTATCAAATCCAACTGAAAGCAAGGTGGTCAGAAGGGCCTGTTGGTTGGGCTGGAGGAAGGATAGGAGGCATGCAGTGTCTGGAACCTGCAGAACTAGACCTGAGAGGGAGGCAGTGGCTGCTCCTCAGCTTCCTGGTCCAAAGTACAGAGGTCAGGAGTAGGGCACCAATTTAGATGAGATGATTACAGTCTTTTATTGAAGCTTAAAAAGAAACCCCTGTAAACACTAAACAGAGAACAAGAAACTGAGAAGTAGTGTTCCAACAACTTGTATCCTTGGGGACTACATCTCTGAAAAAAATAGCTACTATGTAGGCACAGAACCGGGGTGCTATATATGCTTTATACAGGTGGAAAAGATCACTCCTTGGGGTGAGAGATCTCAATTACTCTCGCCATCACTGCTGATGATACCACGCATGTGTGACCAGTCTGGGGGCGCAGGACGAGGTTGTTCTTCTTCTGAGTCCAGGGTCCGTCGGTATAGCTCCCCTGGAGGAGCTTCTGAAGGGTTCCAGGCTGTGCGTCTGCGTGGCCGGCCTAGAGAGAGAAGGGAAATAGGAGATTGGTTGTCTGGGAGAGGCCAACCCCATCTACTGGGCAGTGGGAGGAGACTACCTGAGCTGCTGATGATGTTGGCCACATCCAAGGAGGCCACCTCAGCTGCCTCCTCCCGCTGCTCCTTCAGGGCCCGACACTTCTCTAAGGAAGGGTTACCTGGGGCAGAAGAAGCTCATGATCTTTTTGTCCCCAACAGAGTCCCCTCCTGCAGCCCCCAGGGCACACCTTGCCTCACCCTTCATGCCCAGGGCTTCCAGCTCTGCCCGAAGGACACTCAGGCGCTCCTTATGTGAGCGACAGGAGCCCAGTAGCTTCTTGTAGTTTCGATGGGCACCGCAGGCCCGAATGTAGCGCTTTAGCCTCATCACTGCTGGGTGATCCTCTCCGCGGCGGTTAGAGCCAACCTAGCAAAGAAAGAGCAGCTGAAGGCCAAGCTTGCTGGGCTTGAGTCAGGATCTCTCTCCTGATGGTGCGATCCCACCCCCATCTTCTCTCTCACCTTCTCTCCTTTGGGCTCTGGACTGCCATCTGATGAGGAAGAGGGGCTTCGTGTCCTGCCTTTCTTGGAGCTCTTCTTTCCTGCCGTTCTTGGAGCTCTTCTTGGAAGGGCGGTTCCTCTCCCCCTCGGGGCTGCCCTCTGCGTCACTGCCACTCACCTCCCTCTCCAAGTCACTCTCCTCACCATTGATACTGCTCAGTTTGGTTGTCTTTCTAGTGCCTTTTGCCTTCCAGCTGTCTTCCTCTTCCTCACTGCTTCCACTATGTCTTTTCCCACCCTTCCACTGGGTGCTACCCGTACTCTTCCTTTGTACTGGAGGCACTTCATCTCCCCCACTATTATGCCCACTGCCTACTGCCTCCTCTTCCTTCTCTTCCCCACTGTCCTCCCTATCTCCTGTTAGCTTTCCTGCTCTCCTTTTCTGCTGACAGCTCCTTTCCTCCCAGCCTGACCCTTTCCCTCCACTGCTCTTGCCTCTGGGTTTCCATTCTTGTTCTTTCTCCGTTTTGTTCTTGGCCAGGATTTCCTCTTCCTCACCCTCTTTTTGACTTTGCTGATGGCTTTTAGTTCCTTTATCTCTCTCCACCTTCTTTGCTGCTGTCTTCTGGGCAGATTCTCCCTCCTGGTCCTCGTTTTCTTCCCTGGTCTGCTTTCTGCTGACTGAGGCCCTGCCTGGTGCCTGCTTATTCTTTGTCACAGGTTCCTTCCTATCCCTGCCCTTGTACTTCTTTTTCTCCTTTTCTGCCTCTTCCTCACTGCTCAATTCCTTCCAGACCTTATTTGTTCTGATAGAGCCCTCCTCCTCACTGCTCTCCCCTGAACCTGTCTTTATAGTCAGGTCCTTCTGCTGTTCTTCATCACTGCTTTCAACTGTTTTCTTTGAGGCTTGCCTTGGACTCTCCTCCTCATCAGCTGGACTGTCTTCTTCTGATGTCATCCCATTCTTTGCTGGAAGTCCAAAGCAATGTGGACTGGAAGCTGCAGAGCTGGACTCTGGAATATGAAGAGAAGAGAGGGTTGGGACAAGGTTCCTCCTGTCCCTTCTCCCTTTACTTGATATACATTGCCTCTAGCCCTGCTCTGAAAGTTAGATATCAGGAAGGGCAGCAGGCAACACAGCTATCAACCCACCCTGTACCTGGTTCCAGACTCACTGTCTTCACACCCTCATCTAATGCCTTAGGACACAATACGTGGACAGTTAACTTTCTAAATGATCCAAAAATACAGAAGGCAACCATAGCAGGAAGGAAGGATTAACCTGACTCTGAATTGAAGCGGAACCTTTTTCTCTCCCGGTCACTGGAGAGAGTGGAAGTTCTCTTCACCTTCTTGGTAAAGTCTAGCTTCTCGTCCCTGGTACCAGCGTCATCCACCTGTGTGTGTACCAAGGGGGCAAATCATGTACCAAGGTTTTCTGCCTAGACCACTCCCAGGCCCCTCCTCCTCGGCAGCAAACCCCGCTTCCTGTGGCCCAGGTTCTGGGACACACCTGCATCTTCAGCAGCTCCTCCTCCACCAGCCGCTTCAGTGCCTGTTTTTCCTCAAGATTCAGGTGGTCGCGGCCCACGTGAGCCAAGAACCTCCGCCGTACGATGGAATGCGTGAGCGTGCTGCGGAGACGTGGTGTCAAGACCAAGTCCCTCTCTAACCCCTTCCCTTTCCAACCCCAGTTCTGATCCCCTGTGCACCTGAGGTCCGGGCAGCCTCGGAAGAAGCTTCGGGTGAATTCCTGCATCTCGTTCTCCCGCGCCATTTTGCTCCACCGGAGATTGGCGACTCCCGCCTTTTTTTCTTCTCGGCCTCCGTCAGTGTTTGACAGTACCTTGCGCAAGCGCAGTGCCGTGGCACCGAGAGGTAAGGGACCGTTGGACCTCCGTCGGCTACCGCTTGGGCCAGAAACTGTCAGATAAAACGTGATTTCACTGGGTAGTTGGAGGGTCTCGTGTTTCCTACCCTTTCTTAGAACAAGTCGTTTTTAAAGTCTTCGTTAGAGACGGAGTCGGAACTGGCCACCTTTGGACATAACATTATCAAGCCGCGACGCTGCCTTCCTCCGTAGTCACAAGTACGAACTAAGCACCTGTTATTTCAAAAGGAAAAAGAAAAAGGGCGTGCTCGCCAGGAGGCTAGGAATCTCTGGGGAAAATCTTCTGTGACTTGAAATCGTAAAGCACATTTAAAATCAGCTACAGGGCTCTCCGGAGTCCGCCATATTTGTGACATCATCGCGCCGCTGCTACGTCATCTTCAGCGCAGCGGCTTGAAGCCACGTTCTTTCCGGGTATTCCCCAGGAGGGCGGTCCATGGGTTGCGCTCCCTGGGCGCGGGGCACGCCGGAAGTTGTAGTCCTCGCAGGCACAGCCTTGCAGAGTCTCCGGAAGTGGAGGCGTGAGAGACCGGGCTGACCCGGCTCGGGGTAGCGGGACTCCAGAGGCTGGGGCGCTGCGCCCAGGCAGGTCATGAACGGTCCAGCGGACGGCGAAGTGGACTACAAAAAGAAATACCGGAATCTGAAGCGGAAGCTCAAGTTCCTCATCTACGTGAGTGCTGGTGGGGGGAGGTTGTAGAGGGTGAGGCCTGGCGCTGATAGACTCAGTTTACCCATGCGTGGAGAGGATAGGGCGAGTTGTCGCAGGGTTCCGGAGCCCTTTACGAACGGCGGTTGGCTCAGTCCGCACCTTGCTCGTATCCAGGAACACGAGTGCTTCCAGGAGGAGCTGAGGAAGGCGCAGAGAAAATTGCTGAAGGTGTCCCGGGACAAGAGGTGAGGCACGCTTTAGGGGATAGGAGCAGGGGAGGGAATGTGGCTTTTGGGGATCTATACGTTCGGGGCCTGTCCTGGAATAGGACCACAAATACACGAGCTCTTTCAGGGACCCAACGGGCCAGGTAGAAGGAGCAGGGGCCCAGGAGATCATTGCTAGGATGGAAATAAACCCTCGTTCTCCGTACCTCTTCTCTAGTTTCCTTCTGGACCGACTTCTGCAGTATGAGAACGTGGATGAAGACTCTTCTGGTGAGCAAGATCATGGAAAGTTGGTGGAGAGATAGGTTCTGGCACTTTAGCAAGCTTCCTGGGCCCCTTCTTTTAGGCTGAGGAGGCTGAGGAGGCTGAGGCAGCCCCCAGTGGTTCTTAAGTCTAGTTGCCTTCTCTCCACCGCTACCTTTCTTTTATTCAAGTGTTTAGTGGTCATTTCTCAGGCACTGTGCTTGACACAGGATGCAGTGGTAGCAAAGATGCACAAAGCCTTTAGTCTCTTGTGATTAATTTTTCTAGTTGGAATACAAAAATGAAGAATTCTAGATAGCAGTAAGGATTTGAAGGGAGGAAATAACAGGGTTATGTGGAGTGATTAGAGTAAAACAAAAGTTGGCAAACTTTCTGCAAAGGGGCAGAGAATAAATATTTTAGGTATTTTGGAATAAACAATCTTTGAAGCAGCAACTCAGTTCTGCTCTTGTAGTGTAAAAGTAATCAGAGCTGACAAAAAAATAAAGAGTAATACTGTGTCTTGATGAAACTTTAAAATTTTTTTGAATTATTTTATTTAACTTTATTTATTTTTATTTATTTTAATTTGACCAGAGAGGGACAGAGTGAGAGAGAAAGTGAGAAACCAAGCCACCAAGTCCAAGACTCGAATCGTGATCAACCATGTGGGAGGGAGTCCAACCCCTTCCCTTTCCAACCCCAGTTCTGATCCCCTGTGCCACCTGCCAGCACCTCCCACCTATTTTTTTTTTTTTTTTTTTTCGGGAGGAA